TTATGCTAGGGATCACTTGGTATCCCGAGGATCTCTTGGTACCCTCAATATGTATTAGGGATCTCTTGGTATCCCGCACTTCAGTTCAAATCAACAATACGTACAGGGGATCTCCCAGGATGCCGTCCCGTAGTCCCAAAGTAAAACACACAGCAATAACACAAGGAATTCTCAATTAAACTCAACTTCATACCAAGGTAGAACAGGAAATTCTAACCTAGCATGCTTCACATAACACAAATAAGGCAGTTTAAGCAAATAAAATAAGTAAGTCAATTAGGCATGCTTCTCTAAGCTAACAGCAGGCTTAAATTGCAAGTAGTAATAACAGGAGAAGAAAACACAATCTTAATTACTTAGCGAAAACCGGGTTTTCCAACAATTAGCACAAGTACGCACTCGTCACCTCACGTACAAGGCATTTCAATTAACAAATATACCAAATCCTAAGGGGAAGGTCCCCCACACAAGGTTAGGCAAGCCACTTACCTCGAACCGGCTCACAATCAACCCGAAACCACGTTCTTGCCACGAGTACTCGACTCCAAATGGCCCAAATCTATTCAATTCAATTGCATAATGTAAATAACACTTCAAGAAATTAATTCTACAAATAAATTCTAAGCTAATATGCAAAATTAGGTAAAATGACCAAAACTCCCCTCGGACCCACGTCTCAAAATCGGGTAAAATTTAAATTTCCAGTATCCTCCCACTCTCACGAGTTCGGTCATACCAAAAGTACCACAATCAGACCTCAAATGGTCCCTCAAATCATCACTCAAACGTCTCTAATTAGTCAAGCTCTAACCCCCAAATTACTACTGATTTTCCTTAATTTTTCATGCTTAAAATGATAAAAATCATTCCAATAATGAGTTTAGGGACCAAAACCTTACCCCAATGAACTCCTCTGAAAATCCCTCTTGAAAATGCTCCCCACGGCTTCTTACCGTTTGAAAAGAGGTGAAAATAGCTCAAATTCGCTAAGACAAGAATTTATATGTTTCTGCGCAGCTAATCCGCACCTGCGGTCCCGCTTTTGCGGACCAACGGTCGCATCTGCGACAAATTACTAACTCTGCCTTCTCCGCACCTGCGATTCCCCATTCGCAGATGCGGTACCGCTTCTGCGGTAAATCTTCTGCATCTGCTGATCCTGCTGTTCCTCCCCAATTCCGCTTATGCGATGACAATGCCGCTTCTGCGGCTACGCACCTGCGGGACCTAACCGCAGGTGCGGTTATGACAGAAAACCAACAGCTGAAGCTGCTCAAATAACTCCTAACTCTTCTAACAACCGTCCGAAACCATTCCGAGGCCCCCGGGACCTCAACCAAAAATACAAACAAGTCTAATACCACTGTCCAAACTTATACCAATCCTTAAAATACCTAAAACAACATCGAAACGACGAATCAATCACGGATTTAAGCCTAAGAACTCCAAAACTCTAAAAATACACTTTCAATCAAAAAGTCCATCAAACCTCGTCCGAATGACCTGAAATTTTGCACACACGTCACATTCAACGCTACGGAGATACTCCAACTTCCGGAATTCCATTCCGACCCTCGGATCAAAATCTCACTATCGGACCGGAAACTTCAAAAAAATCGACTTTCGGCATTTCAAGCCTAAATTAGCTACGGACCTCCAAAACACAATATGAACACGCTCCCAAGACCGAAATCACCCAACGGAGCTAACGGAACCATCGAAATTCCATTCCGAGGCCGTCTTCACACTGTTTCGACTACGATCAAATTTCCAAAACTTAAGCTCTCATTTAGGGACTAAGTGTCCCGGCAACTCACAATAGCAGAAACAAACACGGGGAAAGCAGTTAATAGGGGATCGGGGCGTAAATTCTAAAAACGAACGGCCGAGTCGTTACACCAGCCCAGCCCAGCCCAAGCCTCGTGGGCTTTTAAATTTGGCAGGGTAGGACGGGTCGGCCCGCTATATGAATGGGACTTAAAATGACTAGCCCAACCCAGCCCTAAGAGGGTCGCGGGCTAGGGCAGGCCGGCCCTTCAATTTTTTTTTTAAATCCCTAAATATTTTTTCGTGACATGGATTAATCATGTAAACAACTTCTATTTGCTTAGAGCGTACAAAAATATTGATATTTGACGAGGAATCTCGTAATTGAAATGCAAATTCTCTATATCTCTTGCTCTTCTTTTTAAAGTTACATGAGTATTTTATTAATACATTTCTTTCAATTTCATCAGATTCAGATACTTTTAATAAGTTTATATGCTGAGGTTTTTTAATGTAGGATTAACATCATTTGTTGGTTTCATCATTATAGTGCATAAACTTTTAAAATTCTTGAAATTTGCTAGTGGTCAATTTATTTTTGTGTATTTAAAACTGATCTTTATCTATACTGAAGAGTAGTTTAAATAGTAATAATATATTAAAGTAATCAAACTGATCATTGGCCACTTTAAGTAATATTTTCTTTTGAGAAAAGATTTTATTGGCTACCTAAGACTTTTCGAGTTCGTTATTAATTAAGCAAAAGAAAAACTAATTTTGTCATATTACATGCATGTCAAAAATCTAAATTCTAGTTGATATGGAAAGGTAAATGAGCAATTTAGGGTTGGGGAATGGGGATTATAGTTAATAATTTTTTACTTTTTACTTTTTTTAAATGTTAAATATTTAATACTAATTAATTTAAATTTAATTAATTTTTGGCCCACGGGCCGGCCCAGGCTCAGCCTCGGTCAAGCATCAAGGGCCAGCGGGCTGACTTGGGTCGGGCTTATAAGCCTCAATTTTAAATGGGCTCAATAAATCCTAACCCTACCCAAGTAGCGGGCTGGGTTGGGCTGGCCTCATGGGCTAAGCCCATTTTGATGGCTCTAGTTGTATTTAAAATAAAATGACAAATATAATATTTTGTATTTGAATCGATCTGGAATAAATTTGAACAAATTACGCCCTTATAAGTGTAAACAGTTCTAAGGTTATTTAAGTCATTTTAACAAAAAAAGAGCTTATCAGCACTTTTTTATAATACTGCAACAACTTATTATCAATTTCAGTACTTGTATCCAAACACGTAACTGCTTATTTATTAAATCAGTTTCAGCACTTAAAAGTGCTTTTCAACACCTAATGCTTATCAACTATTTCAAATCAGCTAATCCAAACGGGTGCTATGTCTCTTTATATATATATAATTTTGAACACTATTTACCTGAGCTAACTTTCGAAATTAAATTAGGCACAATATCCATCTTGATTACGGTAATTAAGAAACTTTTACTTTTTCTGGCAAGTTGCTATAAGAGTTGATACTAGGGGTGTTCGTCGGTCGGTACGGTACGGTATTTAGACATTTCGGTTCAGTATTTTCGGTATTCGGTTTCTTAAAATCCTATACCAATACCGTACTAATTAATCGGTATGGTTCCGGTTTTCCCTTTCGGTTTCGGTTTATTCGGTTCGGTAACTTCGGTTTATTCGGTTTGAATACTGACTAGTGCATAGAGCCATACACTCTAATATTCCTAATTAAAGTACTCAAAAATACAAAACTGAAAATGTTTGTTGACTAAAAGTTTTATTCAAAACTACCAATATCGACCAAATTGAGAAAAATTGTACATAAAAGAATATTTGATCACTAGAAATGTCTTGTTACTTGTTTAGAATTAATTGATGAACTTTGAGAATAAAGGAAAGTAAAATTTTAGATTTTTTATATTTATGTTATAATTGATAATATGGTTTTGTGTAATATAATATCTATTTCGGTATGATATTGATATTTCGGTATTTTATTTTAAAATACCAAATACCATACCTAATACCAATTTTTTTAAAAACTTAAAACCAAATACCATACCAAATACCAAAATACCGTATACCAAATATCAAAATTTTCGGTTTCGATACGGTAATTCGATATTTACCAAATTATGCCCAGCCCTACTCCAGTGGACGAGCGGTGGAAATCACATACACAACCTTTAGTGTTGTCAGGANGTATTTACCAAATTATGCCCGGTCCTAGTTGATACCTTGCGACTTATATAAAGTTATTCAAAAAGAGGAGTTTGATACCATGTGCCATTTTAGAGTCTTGATGCAGAAGGATGATAATAATTAAAGGGGAGAGGTAGGCAGGGAAAGGATAAGCCAGGAAAAGGCTACCTTCACTATAAACCTTGCCCCCCCTTGTCCTGCCGTCCAATATGCCTTATGTGCCTCATAATTACACTGTCCCACCTCTATCTTTCCCCCACTATATTTCATACATCCATTTCTTCCATATTAAGTGCTCCCACGTTTTATTTATGTCATAGGTATTCTTTCAGTCTGTTTAAAAAAATAATATCTTTTTAATATTTAATAAGTTTTAAATTGCCGATATGTTTATTATACCATTACTTAAATTTCCTTACGAGAAATAACATGACATATTCATGAACACTAGATTTTAACAATATTTTAATATGTTATATGTATCTCAAGGCCACAAAATTCAAAAAAATTCTCAAAATGGTGACTTAAATTACCCCAAGTCAAAAAATTTCTCAAAATGTTGACTTAAATTTCCAAACTTGTTTTTAGTTTTATGATCTTACTTTTTTACACAGGAGATTTACTTTACACGTAAAAGATCTAAAAATATTGTTTTCTTAAATTTGAAATTGTAAAGCGGCATGTTGTACAAATATACAAAGGTATATAGAGTACTATTTTACAAGCAAAAGACGAAATATTGAGAAGCAATGGAATTACGGAAGGAATTTGAAAATTAAGTACCTGTTCTATCCGGATTATGTGAAATATGAACATGACATATTGCTTACAATAAATCAATTTTATTGAAGTAACAATTCAATAAAATTATTGAATAGCACACCGTTTAATTTAGCAGTAGTAGGCATTCAAGTTGACATATAATGGACAATTATTGGGAAAGTAATGCAATTACAGGAAAATATGAGGGTGTATAAATAGCTGTTTATATCCTATGAGGTGTTAATGAAATTAAACAAACTATTTACACAATGTTACAAATTACAATCATTTAAAACAGGCCGAAAGTATGGGAAGAATCGAATTTATCAAATTCTTACATGCTTCCTAACTTTTCTGCTCCAATGGACCACAACCAGGGACATAAAACGTAATTTCACAATCCCAAGTCCATTTTCATTTCAACTGCTTTTCTCTTCTGTCCCAATCAAATTCAAAATCAATTCAAACCAATGAGCAAAGAAGGAAGTAGAAGAAGAGGCGGATGGAGTTGGACTTCCGCCCTCGTCGGCGCCGCCGCTGCCGGCGTGGTGGTGTCAGCACTTTCGTCGAAGCCACGGGACCCAGATTTCCACCTCATCTCCATTGACCTCACTTCCTTCAAGCTCAATTTCCCAGTACTTGACGCTGAACTCATCCTCACCGTCCACGTCACTAACCCTAACGTCACTTCAATTACTTACTTGTCTACAGAAATGTCGATTTTCTACTCCGGCGACCACCTCGGTTCGGCTCGGGTGAAAGCCGGATCACAGCCGCCGCGTTCCTGCCAGGTCCTCCGGCTACCGGCGCGGCTGAGCGGCGTTCAGCTGGCTCATCACGGCAAGGAATTCCTATCCGACGTGGCGAAGCGAGAGATGGTGCTGGATGCTACGGTGGATATAGAAGGATTTGCTAAGGTGATGTGGTGGGACCATAAGTTTCGCGTGCACGTGGATAGTCACGTGACTGTCGACCCGGTCTTTTTTGATGTCATTGACCAGGAAAATAAGTCGGCTTTGGAGGTCTTCGTTAGGTGACGTCTGAACCGGCCACCCGGCGTTCCCCGGTAAGTTCATTGTATTTTGTTTAAGGGTTTAATATTGTTACTAAGTATGACTTATGTTTCTCGCCCCACGTGGTTAAATTATATAAAGCTGTATGCAATCTAGTTAACGAAGAAAAGAAATGGTTTGCTCTTTTGAAAATTGAACTTTGTTTCATCTAAGTAAATGAATTATGTTCAATATGGTTGTCCAATGTGCGAAGTATTGATCTGCGCTTAAAGGTCGGCGTGTTTCATTATGGTCAATGAACTGAGGAGGAGGATGTAGGATTTTAGGTTTATGGGTTGCTACAAAAATCTCGAATTGATATACAATACTAACCGGAAGAACGGACCGGATTCCAAGCTAACTATTCTTATACATTTAATGAATTTTTCAATACAAATACAAGTTTTTAGACAAAAACTACTTGATTCACGGGAACCCGTAACTGTTGAACTGAATCTGCCCCTGTCAATGAAGTTGATGGAAATTTTAAATATGAGGTTCAAATTTAAAAAAAAAAAAAGTAAGTATTACTTCCTCTCTCTCAATTTATGTGATATTTTTTGCTTTTTGAAATTTAAATTTTTTAATTTTGATCGTAAATTTGAACATATGATATTTAAGTTTTTCGAAATAAAATTTATATTTTAAAATCACGTCAAAAGTACTACAAGCACAATAATTAATTATTTAAAATATATAAAAGACATGAAAATTACGGAAAGAACAATTCATTTGACTCACTAAATTCGATACGTCACATAAATTAGACGAAAAGAGTAGGTATATTTTTTTATTTGTCTAAGCCTAAGCATAAGCCTAAGCCTAAGTAGAGCAGAGTCATCTTGTGTCTTGTATCTGTATTAATGAAAGATAGCAGATATCGAGTATAATAGTTTAGGTGCATATAAGTTGGCACAAATACAATCATCATAAAAAAGTGCGAAATATTGATACACCACGAATGTAAGTAGCACCAAGTTGTAGGAAAAATCAGTTTTGGAAGTTAAAGTTTTTGGATTGGACCAGATTTAATTATCCATCATAATTGTATACGGCTAAAATCGAAGAGTCCAGTTTTACAATCATTATAAAGCTCCATAGCTCGTCTCCAGAAGGCTCGAGGAACAGCTCGAGGTTCGACCCCGAGGGTTCCCTATGTTCGACCTCGGGGGCAGTGCAAATTGTAGGAAAAATCACGAATGTAAGTAGCACCAAGTTGTAGGAAAAATCAGTTTTGGAAGTTAAAGTTTTTGGATTGGACCAGATTTAATTATCCATCATAATTGTATACGGCTAAAATCGAAGAGTCCAGTTTTACAATCATTATAAAGCTCCATAGCTCGTCTCCAGAAGGCTCGAGGAACAGCTCGAGGTTCGACCCCGAGGGTTCCCTATGTTCGACCTCGGGGGCAGTGCAAATCGGTGGCTATGATGGACAAGCGGGAAATTCCCAAAGCACGTGGTTAGAGCTGACCAGACAAGGATAGTACAAGTCCGTACCGTGACATTAAATGGCTGTACCAGCCGCATATCTTTGTAATAAATGGCTGTACCAGTTGCATATCTTTGTAATAAATGCACCTGTGCTATGCTGGGATTCACCCTCCTATATAAAGGAGACCCTTGTCATCTCTTGCGCACATAATATTAAATACAAGAACAAGAACATTCTCTGCTCTCTAACTTAAACATTCTCCATTGTCTCTCTTTTGATTTTATTGCTTACATTTATTGTGTTCTATCAACTGTTCTTCATTTATTGCTCATCATTGATCATAAAGAGCCACCATCAGGGCTCTCAGAATTGTTAGTACTTCATCGGCCGTCCTCAATCGGACGCTTTAGCTCGACCCCGAGGCCTGGCTTAGGCTAGCTCGAGGCCTCGATTCACCACTGTTCGGTTTGAATAACGACACTGCTTCTCACTCTTGCTTTACTTTTATAGCACACACTTAACATCTAATCTAACGATTAGCATTAAAATAAATTACGTACTTTTAGAACCACAAAATCAAATATAATTGTGATTACCATTTTCAAGGTAAACAGTTTGGCGCCCACCGTGGGGCTAAAAATAATAGTGAATGTTCTCGTGCTGGTTTACTGAAAAACGCAAGTTATTCTTTGCACTTTTTCTTGTCCAAGAATCTTTGATTTTAGGTCAAAATGTCCAACTCGGTGAATGCACATGAAAACAATGGTCCTGAGGATCATGGAGAGAATGGTGTAGCTGTTCCAGGCGTCGGTGTACCACTACGAAACCCTGAGGACGCACCAGAACCAATTCGCGTAGATGTGGGCTCACGCAACGCCCAACACGTCGATATAAGCCCTCATACTAACAGGAGTATACGCCAAGAAAACCAACAAGAAGCTCAAAGAACTCTAGCTCGGGAGGAACGAGAGGTTAGCCTTCACGTTATTTTTGAGATGTTGCAGGCACAACAGCTGGCGATTGCTCAACTGCAAAGCCACCAAAAAACTCCAAGCACAGCAGCACTGGAAGCAGCTCCTCGAGCCGAACAGGTACCGAAAAGATCGAGCAACAACGGGTCAGCAGCCGACCCTGCTGTTATAAAGATGCTCGAGGACCTCACAAAGAGGATCGAATCGGGCGAAAAGAAGATAGAAGCTAACGACAAAAAGGTGGAGACCTACAATTCAAGGGTCAATCAGATCCCGGGTGCACCCTCGATTCTGAAGGGTGTTGATTCAAAGAAATTCGTACAAAGGCTATTCCCATTTAGTGCTGCTCCAAAACCCATCCCGAAGAAATTCAGAATGCCCGATCTCCCGAAGTACAACGGAACCTCGGACCCCAACGAGCATATCACTGCATACACTTGTGCTGTAAAGGGAAATGACCTGAAGGACGACGAGATTGAATCCGTCCTGTTGAAAAAATTCGGAGAAACACTTTCAAAAGGGGCCATGCTGTGGTATCACAACCTGTCCCCAGATTCGATAGACTCATTTGCCATGCTGGCAGATTCTTTTATAAAGGCACATGCCGGTGCCATGAAGGTTGCTACAAGGAAATCCGATGCTTCAAAATCAAACAGAGAGAGAACGAGATGCTATGGGAGTTTGTATCTCGCTTTCAAATGGAACGAATGGAATTACCACCGGTCTCCGATGACTGGGCAGTGCAGGCCTTCACCTAAGGTTTGAACGAACGAAGCTCAATAGCTTCGAAGCAGCTAAAGCAGAACTTGGTTGAGTATCCCGCCGTGACTTGTGTGGATGTCCACAACCGGTATCAGTCAAAGATTAGGGTTGAGGATGACCAACTAGGAGCCCCCTCGGGCTCAGTATATCCTAGCAGGCTCCCGGCAAAGGAACCAAGGCCAAACAGGGAAAGATACCGACCGTACACTAAAGATCAAAGGAACGTCCCAAGGCGTAACATACCCCGAAACGACCGAAGGGCAGATCGAGGTCAGAATCCTTGGCGACTCGTGAGCAGAGCCGGATTCGACAGACACACGGGACTGATCGAGGTACCCCGACTATCCGAATACAACTTCAACATTGATGTTTTGGACATCCTATCGGCCATAGGTAAAATCAAAGACGCCAGGTGGCCAAAACCCGTACAATCAGATTCCTCACAAAGGAACCCCAACCTGGTGTGCGAGTTTTATGGCACACGCGGTCATAGGACCAACGATTGCAGACAGCTCCGAGAACAAGTAGCCCGACTAATCAGCAAAGGGCACCTCCGAGAGTTCCTCCGCGACCGAGCCAAAAATCAATTTCGGGAAAGAGAGGCAAACAGGAAAAATGAAACAGAAGAGCCACGGCATGTCATCCACATGATCGTTGGAGGAATCGACATCCCACAGGAACCCATTGTCAAACGAACAAAAATATCCATCACCAGGGAAAAACAGACTTGAGGTTAAATACCCGAGGACTCTCTCACATTCAGCGAAGAGGACATCGAGGCCCTGTCTCAGCCTCATAACGATGCATTGGTAATTTCTTTCCTTGTGAATACATTTCAAATTAAACGTGTGCTTGTGGATCCAGGTAGCTCGGCCAACATTACAGGTCGAGGGTGGTGGAGCAGCTTGGACTGCTCGACCAGATCGTGCCTGCCTCTCGAGTCCTCAACGGATTCAACATGGTGAGCGAGACAACGAAAAGGGAGATCACCCTCCCGGTCAACGTGGCTAGCACAACCCAAAATGTCAAATTTCATGTCATCGAAGGAGACATGAGGTACAACGCCTTACTCGAAGGCCATGGATACACTGCATGAGAGCAGTACCATCAAACTTTCACCAAATGATGAAATTCCCAACAAAGGACGGAATAAAAATCATATACGGGGAGCAACATGCGGCAAGAGAGATGTTCGCGGTGCACGATGTGGCACCGGCATCGACACCTTCAACATCGGAGGAGCCAAAGGATAAGCAAATAGTAAAGTAGCAATCACAAGCTACATTCTCGGCTGCACCCGAGTGAATGAGCAAAGGACCGTACCGTGTCCCAGAGCAAGCTGTTGAAGCATATTGAGGCTCGAAACGCCATCACTACTAAGGTATAACCGTCTCCCTTTTTATTTACGTCTTATACTAACCTGCGTGCAGGTGTACGGTCAGACAAATCAAAGCGCCTTCCAGCTCGAAGACCTTAGGTTTTGAAGCATGCGTTGCACTCTTTTCCTTCGATTGGATTTTATCCCAAGGAGGGTTTTGCCGGCAAGGTTTTTAACGAGTCAACATCTATATGCTGCCTAAGGAGAACTTATCAAGTATTCAAGGTTTCTCTTCAATTAACCTCGAATACTGGGGGGCATTCCCCCGGAAGATCACCTCCCCGGAGAAATCAAGATGAGTCAAAGAGGGTCTCGATAGGAAAATGATGTATCGGGCCAAACGGTCAAATGAACCATGTCCGCATAGAATAATCGAACCCTCGAGGATGAAAACATGTATACTTGTACCAAGTAATCAAAGGAGTATCTTCTAAACGCAACACGCTTCTAAGAAGTTTGCTATTTTTA